GAAATAGATAACACATTGGAAGGGCAAAGGAGTAGAATTGATGCAATGGAAGACAGAATTAATGAGACTGAAGACAAATATCTGAATACTTCTTTGGAAAGATATCAATCAGAAAAGAAAAATTGAAACAAAATTTAAAAAGCCTAAGGTTCATGTGGGATACCATGAAAAGGAATAACCTCCATGTCATTGGAATTCCAGAACAGGAAAAGAAAAATAAAACTAGTGAGAAAATTTTCCAAGATTTGCTGGAGGGGAACTTCCCTGATATTTTGAAAGATGAGAATATATCCATTCAGGAAGTCCAACAAACCCCAAACAGGATAGACCCAAAAAAGAAAATCACCAAGACATATCATCATCAAACTCATCAAAACAAAAGACAAAGAATCCTGAAAGCAGCACAGGAAAAACAAAAAGTTACTTACAATGGACAACCAGTGAGAATAAACTGATTTCTCAGCAGAAACCATGCAAGCGAGAAGGAAATGGGATGATATATATAAAACCCTGAAAGAGAAAAATTTTCAACCAAGAATTATATACTCAGCAAAATTGTACCTCAAATATGGTGAAATTAGGAGATTCCCAGATAGCGGAGACTAAGGGAATTTGTTAAAACCAGACCAACCTTACAAGAGATGCTAAAGGGAGTCCTATGAACAGAGAACCAAAAATAGCAAATAACAACTAACCATTAATACACAAGATGACATAACCCAGAAACCAGAGTTATGAACATATCCTAAGTAAAATAAGCTTACAAGATTGTAAACAGGGAACCAGAGACATCAATTGACAAGTAAGGACAACTACAAACCAAAAAGAGGGAAAATACTGTGTAGTTAGAGAACTTCTAAATGGTGAGCAAGTCAAGAGAGTTGCAAGAAGGAACAGACTGTTCTAGGTTTGCTGGCCCGATGGAGCCTGGTGGAACCACTAAGACCATGGCCCCTATCTGCCCTTCAGGTCTGGAATGCACACCTGTGGCTTCCAGCCAAACAATAGACAGGCATATCAGTTGAGCGTTTACCTGAGGTAGATACACTCCTTGGAGAGAACAAGCATGAGAGAAAGAAGGGCTGCTCAGGCGCAGGGAGATGGCTCAGGGGGTAGGAGTGCATTAAGGGATGGACACAGGGAAGAGGTAGCTATTGGGAGGAAGTGGGAGGGGAGATGTTGCATTGTGGTAAATTCTGGTCAATGTCATGAGGCAAAGTGTATGTGAACTGCTGTATGGAAAGTGTATTTGCTCTGTAAATTTTCACCCAAATCACAAAAAAAAAAAGACTTCTAATCTCAGGGAGAAAATTATAAATCATAAGGTAACCTCAAAGAAAAATGTTAAGCCATCATGATAAAAAAGACGACAAGCACAAATATTCAGCAAATACTAAAACAATAGCAACAAAGGAAATGATAACACAATTCATAAACAAAATGAGCTCGGCACAGAAAATAATATGGAACAAAGAAACCAGGGATACCATGAAAAAACACATAACAAAATGACAGTAACCAGTTCATACTTGTCAGTAATTACACTGAATGGTAATGGATTAAATGCACCACTCGAGACAAAGTTGCAGATTGGATAGGAAAACAAAACCCATCAATATGCTGTCTACAAGAGACACACCTTAGAGACAAAGACAAAAATAGATGAAAAATCAAAGGTTGGAAAAAGATATATCAAGCAAATGTCAACTGTAAGAGAGCAGGAGTGGCAATATTAGTTTCTGATCAAATTGACTTTAAGATAAAAACCACCATACGAGACAATGAAGGACATTATATAATGATCAAAGGATCAATTGAACATGAAGATATAGCCATAATAAATATCTATGGACCCAATGAAAGAGCCCCGAAATACATAAATCAGACATTAAAAGAGTTGAAACGTCAAATAGATGACTCCACAGTCATCGTGGGAGACTTTAATACACTACTTTCAATCAAAGATAGAACAGCTGGAAAGAAACTCAACAAAGATGCAGAAGAACTAAGTAATACAATCCACCAACCTGACCTTATAGACATCTACAGAGCACTTCACCAAATAACAGCACAATATACATTCTTTTCCAGTGCACATGGAACATTTTCCATGATAGACCATATGTTAGGCCATGAAGCAAGCCTTAGTAAATTTAAAAACATTGAAATGCTGCAAAGCATCTTCTCAGATCATAATGCTACCAAATTAGAAAGTAACTATAGGAAGATCAACGGAAAAAGAGTAAACACATGGAAACTGAACAACACCCCCCTTACAAAAGACTCAGTAAGAGAAGAAATAAAAACTGAAATTCAGAAATGCCTTGAATCAAACAAGACTGAAAACACAACATACCAACATCTTTTGGACACAGCAGAAGCAGTGATCAGAGGCCAATTTATAGCAATAAATGCACACATCCTACAAAAGAAAGAGCCAAAATCAACACTTCAAATGATCATCTCCAACAATTAGAGAAAGAACAGCAAGAAAAGCCTCCAGTCACCAGAAGAAAGGAAATAATAAAGATACAAGCAGAAATCAATGAAACAAAATAGAATTGCAATAGAAAAACTTAAGACCAGAAGTTGGTTTTTTGAAAAGATCAATAAAATTGACAAACTACTGGCAAATTTAACAAAGAAAAAGAGAGAATACAAATAACACGAAAAAGAAACAAAATGGGTGACATCACAACAGAACCAACTGAAATAAAAAGGATTATATCAGGATACCATGAAGAACTGTACTCCAACAAATTTGAAAATCTGGAAGAAATGGACAGATTACTAAAAACACACCACTTACCTAAACTAACACAGACTGATGTAGAAAAGTTGAACAGATCCATACCAAACGAAAAAATTGGACAGGTCATGAAAAA